TCGCCGCCTGTGCCCGTGTCGCCTAAGCCCACGGCCACAGTGAAAGCGCCACCAGTGCCGCTAGTACTCGCACCGCCAGTCGTCACAGCAACACTCCCCGAGTTGCCGCCGGTGGCAGTGCCCGTGTCCATCGTGAACGCTCCCGACACACCAGCACTCGATGTCCCGGTCGCCAAAGTCATGGACCCGCTCACGCCGCTCGTACCGGCGTTTGCTGACTTCACGCTCACGGCGCCGCTCGATGTTGCCGTGCCGACGCCGCTCACCACGGTGATGCCGCCGCCTGTGGAACTAACGCCGACGCCGCCGGTCACGGTCACGCCGCCGCCAAGGGTTGCACCCTGGCCCGCGGTCACGCCCACGGCACCTCCCGCGGCCGCACTGGACTTGCCCGCGGTCATGCCGATGTCGCCGCCTGTGCCCGTGTCGCCGTCGCCCACGGCCACAGTGAAAGCGCCACCAGTGCCGCTAGTACTCGCACCGCCAGTCGTCACAGCAACACTCCCCGAGTTGCCGCCGGTGGCAGTGCCCGTGTCCATCGTGAACGCTCCCGACACACCAGCACTCGATGTCCCGGTCGCCAAAGTCATGGACCCGCTCACGCCGCTCGTACCGGCGTTTGCTGACTTCACGCTCACGGCGCCGCTCGATGTTGCCGTGCCGACGCCGCTCACCACGGTGATGCCGCCGCCTGTGGAACTAACGCCGACGCCGCCGGTCACGGTCACGCCGCCGCCAAGGGTTGCACCCTGGCCCGCGGTCACGCCCACGGCACCTCCCGCGGCCGCACTGGACTTGCCCGCGGTCATGCCGATGTCGCCGCCTGTGCCCGTGTCGCCTAAGCCCACGGCCACAGTGAAAGCGCCACCAGTGCCGCTAGTACTCGCACCGCCAGTCGTCACAGCAACACTCCCCGAGTTGCCGCCGGTGGCAGTGCCCGTGTCCATCGTGAACGCTCCCGACACACCAGCACTCGATGTCCCGGTCGCCAAAGTCATGGACCCGCTCACGCCGCTCGTACCGGCGTTTGCTGACTTCACGCTCACGGCGCCGCTCGATGTTGCCGTGCCGACGCCGCTCACCACGGTGATGCCGCCGCCTGTGGAACTAACGCCGACGCCGCCGGTCACGGTCACGCCGCCGCCAAGGGTTGCACCCTGGCCCGCGGTCACGCCCACGGCACCTCCCGCGGCCGCACTGGACTTGCCCGCGGTCATGCCGATGTCGCCGCCTGTGCCCGTGTCGCCGTCGCCCACGGCCACAGTGAAAGCGCCACCAGTGCCGCTAGTACTCGCACCGCCAGTCGTCACAGCAACACTCCCCGAGTTGCCGCCGGTGGCAGTGCCCGTGTCCATCGTGAACGCTCCCGACACACCAGCACTCGATGTCCCGGTCGCCAAAGTCATGGACCCGCTCACGCCGCTCGTACCGGCGTTTGCTGACTTCACGCTCACGGCGCCGCTCGATGTTGCCGTGCCGACGCCGCTCACCACGGTGATGCCGCCGCCTGTGGAACTATCGCCGACGCCGCCGGTCACGGTCACGCCGCCGCCAAGGGTTGCACCCTGGCCCGCGGTCACGCCCACGGCACCTCCCGCGGCCGCACTGGACTTGCCCGCGGTCATGCCGATGTCGCCGCCTGTGCCCGTGTCGCCGTCGCCCACGGCCACAGTGAAAGCGCCACCAGTGCCGCTAGTACTCGCACCGCCAGTCGTCACAGCAACACTCCCCGAGTTGCCGCCGGTGGCAGTGCCCGTGTCCATCGTGAACGCTCCCGACACACCAACACTCGATGTCCCGGTCGCCAAAGTCATGGACCCGCTCACGCCGCTCGTACCGGCGTCTGCTGACTTCACGCTCACGGCGCCGCTCGATGTTGCCGTGCCGACGCCGCTCACCACGGTGATGCCGCCGCCTGTGGAACTAACGCCGACGCCGCCGGTCACGGTCACGCCGCCGCCAAGGGTTGCACCCTGGCCCGCGGTCATTGAGATTGCACCGCCTGTGCCGGTGTCGCCCGTGCCAACGGTCGCGCTGAAAGCGCCGCCAGCGCCACCGGTGGAACCGCCGGTGTCGAGGTCGATTTCACCTGAAGACCCAGCAGTTGCAGTGCCGGTGTTGAGCTTCAACTTGCCTGACACGCCTGCGAGCGACGTCCCGGTCTGGAGGGTCATCGCCCCGCTCACGCCATTCGCTTTTGAATCACCCGTGTGCACGTGCATCGTTCCGCTCGAGGTCTCGCCTCTGCCTGACACGATGTCGACCTGCCCTCCGGCTTTCGTGGTGTCCGATGTCGCGCCGGCAGAGATGCTCACGTCACCGCCCACGCCCGACGTAGTCCCCCCAACGGTCAAGCTGATATCCCCAGCTTTACCACCGGGTGAAAGGCCCGTGGCAATGATGACTTCACCACTTCTGCCAGTGGACGCATCCCCAGAGCTGATGCTCACCGCGCCGCTCAACGACACGCCATCACCGCTCGCAAGGACGAGATCCCCGCCAGAGGTGGTAGAGCCAACACCTGCGGTGATCGTGACAGCACCACCAACAGGGGCTTTGCCAGCGGACATCGTGATAGCACCGCCCGTGCCCGAGTCGCCCGTGCCAACGGTCACGCTGAAAGCACCGCCCGAACCCCCGGTGGAACCGCCAGTCGTCACAGCAACACTCCCCGAGTTGCCGCCGGTGGCAGTGCCCGTGTCCATCGTGAACGCTCCCGACACACCAGCACTCGATGTCCCGGTCGCCAAAGTCATGGACCCGCTCACGCCGCTCGTACCGGCGTTTGCTGACTTCACGCTCACGGCGCCGCTCGATGTTGCCGTGCCGACGCCGCTCACCACGGTGATGCCGCCGCCTGTGGAACTATCGCCGACGCCGCCGGTCACGGTCACGCCGCCGCCAAGGGTTGCACCCTGGCCCGCGGTCACGCCCACGGCACCTCCCGCGGCCGCACTGGACTTGCCCGCGGTCATGCCGATGTCGCCGCCTGTGCCCGTGTCGCCGTCGCCCACGGCCACAGTGAAAGCGCCACCAGTGCCGCTAGTACTCGCACCGCCAGTCGTCACAGCAACACTCCCCGAGTTGCCGCCGGTGGCAGTGCCCGTGTCCATCGTGAACGCTCCCGACACACCAGCACTCGATGTCCCGGTCGCCAAAGTCATGGACCCGCTCACGCCGCTCGTACCGGCGTTTGCTGACTTCACGCTCACGGCGCCGCTCGATGTTGCCGTGCCGACGCCGCTCACCACGGTGATGCCGCCGCCTGTGGAACTATCGCCGACGCCGCCGGTCACGGTCACGCCGCCGCCAAGGGTTGCACCCTGGCCCGCGGTCACGCCCACGGCACCTCCCGCGGCCGCACTGGACTTGCCCGCGGTCATGCCGATGTCGCCGCCTGTGCCCGTGTCGCCGTCGCCCACGGCCACAGTGAAAGCGCCACCAGTGCCGCTAGTACTCGCACCGCCAGTCGTCACAGCAACACTCCCCGAGTTGCCGCCGGTGGCAGTGCCCGTGTCCATCGTGAACGCTCCCGACACACCAGCACTCGATGTCCCGGTCGCCAAAGTCATGGACCCGCTCACGCCGCTCGTACCGGCGTTTGCTGACTTCACGCTCACGGCGCCGCTCGATGTTGCCGTGCCGACGCCGCTCACCACGGTGATGCCGCCGCCTGTGGAACTAACGCCGACGCCGCCGGTCACGGTCACGCCGCCGCCAAGGGTTGCACCCTGGCCCGCGGTCACGCCCACGGCACCTCCCGCGGCCGCACTGGACTTGCCCGCGGTCATGCCGATGTCGCCGCCTGTGCCCGTGTCGCCGTCGCCCACGGCCACAGTGAAAGCGCCACCAGTGCCGCTAGTACTCGCACCGCCAGTCGTCACAGCAACACTCCCCGAGTTGCCGCCGGTGGCAGTGCCCGTGTCCATCGTGAACGCTCCCGACACACCAGCACTCGATGTCCCGGTCGCCAAAGTCATGGACCCGCTCACGCCGCTCGTACCGGCGTTTGCTGACTTCACGCTCACGGCGCCGCTCGATGTTGCCGTGCCGACGCCGCTCACCACGGTGATGCCGCCGCCTGTGGAACTAACGCCGACGCCGCCGGTCACGGTCACGCCGCCGCCAAGGGTTGCACCCTGGCCCGCGGTCACGCCCACGGCACCTCCCGCGGCCGCACTGGACTTGCCCGCGGTCATGCCGATGTCGCCGCCTGTGCCCGTGTCGCCTAAGCCCACGGCCACAGTGAAAGCGCCACCAGTGCCGCTAGTACTCGCACCGCCAGTCGTCACAGCAACACTCCCCGAGTTGCCGCCGGTGGCAGTGCCCGTGTCCATCGTGAACGCTCCCGACACACCAGCACTCGATGTCCCGGTCGCCAAAGTCATGGACCCGCTCACGCCGCTCGTACCGGCGTTTGCTGACTTCACGCTCACGGCGCCGCTCGATGTTGCCGTGCCGACGCCGCTCACCACGGTGATGCCGCCGCCTGTGGAACTAACGCCGACGCCGCCGGTCACGGTCACGCCGCCGCCAAGGGTTGCACCCTGGCCCGCGGTCACGCCCACGGCACCTCCCGCGGCCGCACTGGACTTGCCCGCGGTCATGCCGATGTCGCCGCCTGTGCCCGTGTCGCCGTCGCCCACGGCCACAGTGAAAGCGCCACCA